CTGATTTAAGAAAAATGCTGCCTCAGCAAACCCCACTGAAAGATATTTATCTTTTCAAATATTTTTGCTTTCAGAATCTGGTTGTTGGAATAAAACAGATCTCTGAATTCCTTGGCTTCTCTCTAAGTGATGAACAAATACGAACTATCTCAGCGCAGTGCACCTTCCAAGCAATGCGGGAAAACTCTCAGGAGACGCATGGTGCTATCGGCCCCTTCCTGTTCCGCAAAGGTAAAGTGGCTTTCATCTGTGGGGTGTTGTGTCGGCCCCACACTGAGCAGGAAAGCCAAACCACGGTGTCTGAAACAAGATAGGGTGTTGTCTTTTTTCTCCTTTAATAAGAATTCAGGACAGGGGGAGCCTGGAGCTGTAATTGGTGACTGTCCTCTGTCCTTCATGCACTAAGTGCCCAGTGATGGCAAAGCAGCAGCTGCAGCTCCAGCATTCAAGACTCAGGTGGGAAAGGGAGACAGCAGAGGAAAGATCCTGTCCATTGGCTAATCCGCCCCTTCTGGAGCGTTCCAACAAGCCCCATTCAGGGCTTGCCTGCGCTCATTTGTCATCCCTTCCTACAGCAGTCCTTGGAAATGTAGTTTCCTTATTGGAGCTAGGTGCATTGTTACTCACTGAAAGTCAGAATTTTGCTAATACACAAGGAGGAGAAAATGGTCACTAGGTAGGTAATCAGGTATTCACAGATGATTTTACTTCATTTCATTAGAGTGTTCTAAGTTCTTATCAAGTTCTATAATTTTATAGGTTAGGTCTTTCCACTTTTATTTTATTGAATATTTAATGAAAATATAAAAGTTTAAAATTTTTATTACACTTTGTGTCTGTGTGTGTCTGTGTGTGTGTATGCGCGTGCGCACACGCGTGCACGTGCACACATGTGCCATGAAATGCACGGGGTGGTTAGAGGACAGATTGTGGAAGTCAGTTCATGTAGGACCTGGAGCTAGAACTCGGGCTGCTAGGCTTGGGGGCAAGCGCCTACATCTGCCGAGTCTCCTCATCAGCCCTATAACCAGACTTAAAGGCAGCGTAGGGAGCAGCAAGGATGAGCACAGCTAACATGGGAACTGATTGCATACTGACCGGAATGCTGTGTTAGGGTTAACATTTATAACAAAAGAAAACAAAAGATTTCCTTTTGCAACTTAGGAAAAAAGCTGAAGCCCCAGGACCTTGCTTTTCCGTTGTCATACTTCAGGATTTGTGCCGAGTCTACTTCCTTCTGTTAATTTTTTGACTGATCTATCTTAAATATCCAGTATGAGTGGAAGATGAAATAGGAACCTGGCTGTAGATGGATTCCTCCATATCCCTGCTTCTTATGCCTTATTCAGGAGGGAACTAGAACCCACGCATTGTTCATCAAATGTTGTTTGGAATGGAAAACTCCTACAATGAAATAAATCTGATGTTCCCTGTACAGCATCCAGAAGGCTGGGAAGTGTGGAAGGGCATGAAAATAAAACACAAGTCATTTACAGATGTCATCAAAAATTTAAATTTCTCCCGCCTGAGTCAGGTTTTACTTTTTTTTTAAATATTTATTTATTTATTATGTATACAATATTCTGTCTGTGTGTGTGCCTGCAGGCCAGAAGAGGGCACCAGACCCCATTACAGATGGTTGTGAGCCACCATGTGGTTGCTGGGAATTGAACTCAGGACCTTTGGAAGAGCAGGCAATGCTCTTAACCTCTGAGCCATCTCTCCAGCCCCCCAAGTTTTACTTTTTGACATGTCTCTTCCCAGCCATTTGTTGGGTGCAGTTGATGTCATGTGAGGACGGTTTTGTCTTGCTTCATTTCCTTAATGCATTGTAACTATTTTGTCGTGTCGGTAAGCCCATTTCATCAGGACACATTTCAATACTAGTGTGACATAGAGCTCGCAATTCCAACTAAAATCATTCAAAGATTCCACAGAACGAAATCATTTATTTTTCATGCATTTGTTTATCCTCTGTGTGTATGTACATTTGTGTGTTAGTATGTGTGTACATTCAAGAGTGTTAAAGTTATCTCGATTCGGGAAATAATCAGGCTAGCTAAAAGATAAACAATTATATTTTTATGTATTATAAGGGGAAAAACTCATGAAACAGGAACGAGAAGTCCAAGCTCAGTTGTGCCACGAGGGAGACACAAAGATAGCACACCTGGGCCTTGCAAAGCCACACCCTAGCTTGGTCCCACCTCTTAAAGATAATTGGTTAACAAGGCTTCCCTATCATGAGTGTGTATGTACATGTTGGGGGCTCACATGTGCATGTCAAGGTGTGCATGTGGAGGTCATTGGAGTTGCATAGTGTTGGAGTGGGTGTGGCCTTGTTGGAGGGAGTGTTTCACTGGGGGTGGGCTTTCAGCTTTCAGAAGCCCAAGCCAGGCCCAGTGGCTCTCCCCTCTTGCTGCCTGCAGATCCAGATGTAGGAGTTGCCATGACCAAGGTGTCTCTTCACAGCAGTTGAACACACTGACTAAAACAACAGTATATATATATAAAAAAAAAGAAATAACATGATTTCTTTGTAAGATCAACACTGCTTTCTACTACATGGGTTCCAGAGATCATGCTCAATTCCCCAGGATAGATCTGGTGCATTAACCCACTGAGCCATCTCACCAGCCAAAGAAATAACTTACTATATGTTAGAAAAATATTTAAAATTTTATTGAGACAGAGTTTCACTATGTAGTTCAGGATGACCTGGAACTTGCTATGTGGTCTGGGATTAACTCAAAAGTATGATTCTCCAGCCTCCACCTCCTGAGTACTGGGATTACAGGTGCTTGATACAACTGGCCAAAGTATTAAATTGGTAATAATAAAATAATTAAATTGGTATCAGTGCCTGGTAGATATCTTAACAAAAACCCAAGGTAAAATGTTAACTTCTGAAAGTGTGTTTGAGTATTTGAGAGATGTTAGAAAGGGGAAAAGACATTGAGAAAATGTAAGATTTTTAGATCCCAGGTGCTGCAAGAAGGTTGAGGGTAGGCCATTGAGATGAAGTCTTCCTTCCCCCAGGTGGGCAAGGACACCAGGTCTCCTGCCACTGGGGCACTGCTGATCTTACAAAAATAATGTGTTATTTCTTTTTTTAACACTATTGTTTTAGTCAGTGTGTTCAGCTGCTGTGAAGAGACATCCTAATGGTGGCAACTCCTATATATATATATATATATATATATATATATATATATATATATATATATATATTAAAGCATTTAGCTGAGACTTGCTTACAGTTCCAGAGGGTTAGTCTATGATCTGCATGGAAGGAAGCGTGGCAGCATGCAGGCAGATGTGGTAGCTGAGAGCTCTGCATCTGGATCTGCAGGCAGCAGGAGGGGGGAGCCACTGGGCCTGGCTTGGGCTTCTGAAACCTGAGAGCCCACCCCCAGTGACACACTCCCTCCAACAAGGCCACCTCCTAATCCTTTCAAATAGTGCCGCTCCCAAAGCATTCAAATGTATGAACCTATGGGGGCCATTCTTATTCCAACCACCACAACTCTGCCGAGTTAACCTTTCAAAGTGAACCACTGAAGTAACCAAAGATAAAATTGGGTAGCATACAGGATAAAATTAAGAAATATCCTAACATATGCCTGAGTCTTTTGTCCTCTCTGTGTTATAGGTGAAGTTGGTGATTGGAAAAATTTGTTTAATGAAACTCAGAGCCAGGAAATGGATGAAAGATTCAAAACCTGCTTAGCAGGTACTTCCCTTGGAGCCAAGCTGAAGTATGAGTCACATTGCCTGACTTGATTCTGGCCAAGATGGCTGACCTACATATTTTCTTTTTCCTAATACTAATTTATATAATTTATATAATTAAATAATAATTCAATTAAATAGTCACATAATGACAATCAAGTAGCATGTAATTTTGAATAGTGAGGAAGTTAACGGCTGAAGTTTTTGAGCTCAAATTAAAGTTTGTCTTCTTTGTGAAGAACTGGAGCATTGTTGTCTGTGTGTTATTCTAGGGTTGGACTCACACAAAATAGGCTTCCAAATGCTATACATTTTCTTAAGCTTTTCTCATTAGGAAATTTCTCATTATGGATCAAATATTTTGTAGTAGTTTTCTCAGACGTACTGGTGGGTGAAGTTCCATTCTGACACTGCATTGACACCAAATTAACATTAGCAGCTCCAATTTGTTTCGGGATAAATGCATCTTCATCTACTCTGGCATGCCATGCGCACAGGTCTCTGGATGTGCTTCCCTCGGGAGTCCATGTAGTCCTTCATACTACATTCTTTAAGTCAAAGCTAAAGTTTAAGTTTTTGTACCATACAGATTTTTTCTGCTGGAGGGTAATAAATAGTCATGTGGAACTAATAAAACAATATAGAGAATGTTCTAGAAAAATTATCCTCTCTGGCACTTCTCAAGTATCCTACCACTTGGGAGGCAGAGGCAGGAGGCTCACTACAAGCATGTGTCTAAACAAGTTCTAGGTAAGTTAGGGCTCCAGTCAGACCCTGACTTAAACCAGAAAACAGAAATGGGAAAAAGACTGCTGAGAAACAGTGAGGCAGAGACTCTTCCTGGGCTTCACACAGGGGTAGGAAGAGTTTGCCAGAGTAAGATGTGGGCTAGATCCCGCAGAATGGTCAGACCTCAGTAGTGGAGCTCACCTAGCCCTAATAAGCTAGCCCAGATCTGCCATAACAAACATCCAAAGCAAGCCTTAAGGATCAAAATGAAGGAAAATAATGTACTCTTTGTCAGTTGAGTAAAACAGAAACAAAGCAAAATTACCAGTCAAGCATGATGCTGCTCCCCTATAATTCCAGGAAGAACAGACAAAGTCAGACAAAAACAAAAACCTCAATGTTTCCAAAATTAAATGATGAAAATAAAGCCCCTCCCCCCACACTATGTCTGTCATCCAATTGGGATTTTCCAAGTATACGAAGAAAATGTAATGTATAATCAAGAATGAGAGCAATTAATAGAAACAAACAAATAAATGTAATGAGAAAATCAACAGGTTAAAACCTTTAATGAGATAGTGTTCATCTTATAGATGTGCTTAAAAAGCTGGGGATGGCGGCACATACCTATAACGAAGCACTTGGGAAGCTGAGGCAGGAGAATTGTGAATTAAAGGCCAATCTAGACTATATAACAAGATCCTGCCTCAGAAAGCTAACTTATACACCGAGGGTTTCAACTGTCTCCAAATAGTAATTCAACAACTAAATGTATACGCTTTATATAGTCGAGGACATTTATGCTCACAGATATAGAGTAAAATAAACATGATGAGAGGGAAAAAGATGATTAAAAATGACCCAAATGGAAATTCTAGAGGTACAAACAACATCATATAAAAATGAACAATATACTGTGTGAATAAAAAGTACATTTGATTGTGAAAAAGAAAAACCATGGGAACTGAATTCACAGCAGTAGAGGCTAGCCTATATAAAGGAAGAGTGGGAAAGATCCACAGACAGCATGAGCAGGGACTTAGTGACTTACGGGACAATAAAGGAAATACAAATGGAATTGAAATTCAAGAGGAAAGAAAGAAAGAAAAAAGGGAAGAGAGGGAGGGATAGAAGGAGAGAGGAAATGAGAGGGAAAGGAAGGGGGGCAAGAAAGGGCTATGTTAAATAGATAAAGAGCATTATAACTGAACTTTTACAATTCAAATTACTAGAAATTTACAAATCCAAAAGGTTTAACAAACTCAACATAAATAAAAAGATGCCGAAACACCAAGTGGCAGGAGAGACATGCAAACTGTCTACTCCAAAAACTAAGAAGAGAGAAAATTTTACCCCATAGCGACAAAAAGCATGTCCTCCGTGAGAAATTCATTTGGGGCTCACTGAGGCTCTGTGATCAATGGGCACATCGCCTGCCCAGTGACCAGATCAGCCTTGATAACTCGATCCTGATAAACTCTCACTAGCTGCCACAGCTTCTGAAATGAGCACTCAATAACCCGGTGAGAGGCTGACAGCGAGGGCTCCATGCCACCTGTTCACAAAAGCAGAAAAGAATGCCTTTGGTGAACATTCTCAGGGGAATGGCCGTCTACCCCCTCTGCCCATTCCGGTCTAGGTGGCTTTCTCTAGCATTGCCAAAGGTCTCCTTATCACCACCATTCCTTCATGATCTCAGAAGATCTGGCTGAAGTGTTAGCCACTGAAGGAGGTGCGTTTGGATTTTCCTGGGGGCTCTGGGTAGAGAGCGAGTGAACAAGTTATTCATTCTTCCTCTCCCAATATTCTCGGCTCCCTAAGTTGCTGGGTTCTGAGATTGCCCTGTAATTATCGGTTGGCTTCAGACTTGCTCTGTAACTGAAGATGGCCTTGAGCTTCCTTTTCCTGTCTTCGCCTCCCCAGTGTTGAGATTACAGATCTGGACCACCATGTCGGGTCACTGCAGTGTGGAGACAAGAGTGATGGGTGGCACATCCACAACCTATGCTCCTTTCTTGAGATCTCGTGTAGCCCAGGCTGATCCCTAATTTATTCTGTAGCTGTGGATGACCTTGATCCTCCCCCTGGCACCTCCCAAGGGCTAGGACTGCAGACGTGCACCACCATACCCATCCCTCCCTGGGTGTTTTTAATTTCTCCACCAGCATTAGTTGACACTACAATCTCATTTCATGAGGACCAATACTGTGCTCAGTCTGCAGGACACCAACTGAGTGGATCAGCGCAGCCATGCTCCGCGGCTAGAGTAACATACCTACCTCCTTCAGGCCAAATTCAGAATCACCTCCGTTCATATGTCTTGGGCTTCTTTTTACAAATGAGTGGCCTTCATTTGTCAAGTAAACTATTTTCTTTCCATCATATTTTGTCCATATCCTTTTAGGGTATGATACCTAAAATTAGATATCCCGAAACCTATTAAACACCGCAAGCAGGAGCCTTGAGTTTCTCCTTCCTTTTCCAGCAGAGCTTTACCAACATAGGAGTCAGAAAATGTTCAGAAACCTGGAAAAGCACCTATGGCAAGCCGCCTCTGGGGCTGAGCTGGAGAGCAGAGGAAATCCAGACTTTGACTCCCGCGCTGGGACGCCTACTTGTCGCCACGCCTACTTCTGCCACCCCGGGGGGGCAGGGGCTGTTTGCGGCAAGGCGGAGTCCTCCCGGAAAAGGGAAGGAGAATCAATGGGCCTGGCCTAGGCTTCCACCGACCCCAGGACAGTGAGCAGCAGCGGGGAGGCACCACAGAGTCCCCACCAGCAGCGGGGAGGCACCACAGAGTCCCGACCGAGCAATTCGAATCTAAACCAGGGCGCCAGCCACCGTCCAGAGCGGTAGGAACTGAGGGCTTATTTTTCTCACTTCTGGACAGCAGTAGTGGGGCAGGGACCTATAATGAAAGTGACAAATGCGATGACCTGAAACTCTGGAGGGAAATCTAGAAGCCCGAATGACTCGGAAACTTTGGCTGCACAGCTGTGGTGGTATTCCAGTTGGCAGGCCTCTGTGTCAGCCGGGTCTCGTTCCATCCTCCACCTTGTTCTTCTCCATGTAGCTGAGTTTTCTTCAACTCTGAACCGGATGCTTGCTCTCCTGCTCCGACCTCTGCTACACCAACCCCTACAGTCAGGCAAAGCCCCCCATGCCCACCACTTTCAGACTTCCTTGGGGCTTCTGGGCCAAGGCCAAGTACCCTTCAGCTCCTGGCCTTTGTGGTGCCTCTTCCTACTTCCTGAAAAGCCCTTCCCCCACCCCAACCCCAAGGAATAGCATGGGTAGATCCCTCTCAGTATCCTGTCCTTCTCACAGAACCAACTGTATGAGCAGCCTTCCCTGAACAAGAACTTCTTCTCTGCCCTCCCTGTCCCCCGATTCCCGTATTTTCTAAATTTTCCAATTAATACTTAGTACCACAGTTTGTCTGTATCCTTCTATACCAGTAAGGTCCCAAGAGCAGTTTTTATTTGTTTGTATAATCCTAGCACCTAATACCTGACAAGCGCTCACTACATGTATGTTAAATGGATGTTAATTCACAGATACCCTTGTCTTCTAGACAATTGAGATTTCCTGTTGCATGTTTAGTACTAAAAGTGTCTTGCCTCCCAGAATCTAAAGACACTCCCTAGGCTATTGCCAGGACCTTAGAATCTTGTGCAGATGGTGCTCTTTCTTCAGCTTGCACTGTGAACCTGACAGGGCCGGACCACTGTTTGCAGCTTCCTCGTTTATATATCAGATATGAGATGAATGCATGCTGTATGGGAGGTAGCTGCTGGAAGGACCTCAGGCTTTTGGAGAGCTTGCGGGGAGTGAGACCAGTGTGTTTGCGACATAGGTGAGAGAGGCAGGGGGCATTTGTTGGTGCATGTGATGGACAGCTCTTTGGGTGAGTGAATAGAGCTGTCACTGCTCCTGGTGAGCTCACGGATTAGGTTATAGAGCAGCCGGCTGTGATGAGGGTTGTGAGGGGGGAGATGCTAACTGCCCCTGCAGCATCAGAGAAGACCAGGCCCATCCTGATAGGTGAATAAACATTGCCCAATAGACAGAGGGCTCCAATTCATGGGAGCATGGATTGGGAGGTACCTCCGTGCCCTTTCATGGATGGACTCATTCATCTACTTGTATCAAGCCTGTCTTATAAATCTGGTGCCTCCTTTCCTTTTTCATGTACTGTTACATGTTTTATTTTTAAAAAAAATTTATTTACTTTTTATTTCATAAATGTCTATGTATCTGTGTATGGATATGGGCATGGGAATACAGTTTTCCTTGGAGTCCAGAAAGGTATCAGATCCACTGAAGCTACAATTACAAGGAGGTTATGGGCTGCGTGCCACAGGTGCTAAGAACCAAATTTGGATTCTCCAGGAGAGCAGCAGGGCTCTTAACTGCTGGGTCATATCTCTAACTGTAGATTTATTTTATTTTATTTTGTGTGCATGTGTGTGTTTGTCCATGTGCTTCAGTGAGCCTGTCTGGTCAGAGGAGGACTTGTGGAAGTCAGGACTCCTCAACCATGTAGGTCCCAGGGACTGAACTCAGATGGTCAGTCTTGGCAGCAAACACCTTTACCTGCTGAGCCATCTTGCCAACCCTGGTGAAAACCATAACTGTGTAGGTAGAATGTAAAGCCACAGCCTGGAGGTGATCACAGGAAGGAGTTAAGTAGGGAATAGAATTTTTGAGAACTAGGCCCCTGAACAATATTTAGATGAAAAGGAAGGTGAAGAAGGGCTGAGAGAGAAGGCAGAGAAAGTATGGCTTCTGAGAGAGACACCAGAGATCAGGTATCTCACAACCTAAGCTAAAAAGGGGGAAGGAGGGAGATGAGAATGAATGAATAACTGACATTGACTATTGAATTAGGCAAAGAGTGAGCCACTGAGAACGTCACAAGGGCAGTCTTGGTGGCTGGTAGAGGCTCCAGGATCTGAAAGATGCTTTAAGCCAGTGGTTCTCTATAACACGAGAACCATCTGTCCCGCCCAGTACCCCACAGCCAGCAAGCCCCAAAGAAAATCACACGGAGTCTACATTAGGTTATAAACTGATTGGCCCATTAGGTCAGGCTACTTATTAGCTCTTATAACTTATGTTACCCCATTATCCTTATCTACATTAGCCATATTGGCTCAGTACCCTTATCAGCTGTCAGCTCACATGTTGCTTCTTCAATAGTCTGGGCAGGAGTGCAGAGGGAGCTTCCTGCTTCCCAGAATTCTCCTGTTCTCATTGCATCACCTCTACTTCCTGTCTGGTTTTCCCACCTATACTTCCTGCCTGGCCAATCAGCATTTATTTAAAATATGACTGACAGAATATAGACAATTCTCCCGCACCAGTTCTCAACCTTCCTAATGCTGCAACCCTTTAATACAGTTCCTCATGTAGTGTTGACCCTAGCCATAAAGTTATTTCGTACTTACTTCGTAACTGTAATTTTGCTGCTGTTATGAATCATAATGTAAATATCTGATATGCAGGATATCTGATACACAGCCCAATGTGAAAGGATCATTCAACCCTCAAAAGGTTGAGAACTGCTGCTCACAGTGTGAAGATTCTTGTTGAAAATTTAAAACTTTATGTGGAGTTAGGGACCAAACTTGAGGCTTTGTGCTTGCTAGGCAAATCCTCTGCCAAATGAGCGGTGTCTCCAGCCAAGGAAACCTTAAAATTTCTAGTTCACTTTTAAATAGATGATGGAAACATAAAAGTTTCCAGATTTACTGGACATTAAGTGATATTTTGATACTATGTATACAGCGTATAATATCTAAATCAGGTTAAATGTATCTATACCAAGAAACAGTTTTTCCTTTCTTTCTCCTGGGTAATGGCACTGAGTATCATTTTGCTGTTTTGGTGGCCATTGCTGTGTCTCCTTTGAAAAAATAGCACTCAAGTCCTTTGCCTATTTTCTAAATTGTGTGTGTGTGCAAATGAACATATGTTACATAGTCATGTGTTTATGTGTGTGTTGTATTGTGTGAAAGTAGTCATATTTGTGTACATAGATGTGTATACATGTATATGTGTATGTACTACATGTGTGTGTACACAGTTGTGTATGTGCCCATATGTGTATGTATAATACATAGCCATATATATGATACAGCAATATATGCATGCATAGCCTTGTTTTTACCATAAAAGCTGTAATTCCACTCCTACATTCATTATGCCTTCTCAGGCAGGTCAACAGACTGAAACATCTCACTCCTTGGAAGCCAGGAGTAGAGCAAAGGGTGGGCCCTCTTTCCTTGGCCAGTAGTTGTGAAAGTAGGTGTTTTAGGAGGAGAGAAAGAAAGATTCAGACACAGAGTATTCTCTGAATTTATGTAGGGCTGAGATGAGTCCCATAGAGAAGACCCACTGTCTCTGGTGGTTTCCTGTGGGGGCTGGGAATTCAGATTATCTGTAGCTTGTTAGTGCCATGCGTGTAAACACCTCTTCCATTGCAGGTTACTGGGAGGAAAAATGGCCAGTGATACACCGGGTTTCTACATGGACAAACTTAATAAATACTGCCAGAAGCATGGAGTAGCAATTACGTATAAAGAAGTTTGTACTACAGGGCCTGCACACGACAGAAGGTAATTTGTCATCAGGAAAGGTATGACTAGGGCCAGGGAGGTGACTCAGTGGATAAGAGTTCTTGCTATGTAAGTATGAAGACTCGAGTTCAAATCCCCTGCACCCACATAAAAAGCTGAGTGTGGCTGAGAACATGCCTGTAAATTCAGCACTGTGTAGTGCTAGTGTATAATCACACAGAGGTAAATAACACTGATTTATTGAGGGGTTGCAGTGGATAGGGTCGAGTTCACAAATACAGAGAAAAGGCTGAAGCAGCCTTCCTGGGTCTGTCCTCATGCTAAGCAATTGCCAGAGCAAGAGAGCAAGCAGGTTTCTGGCAACTTCTAGTGCAGTCATAGCCCCTCAGACCATGCACTAAGGCCAGTATTATGAAAGCTAATTGACATAAACATAGAGCTAAGACAGGAGGATCGCAGGGCTTTCTGGCGATCAGCCGAGCTCTAAGTTCAATGAGAGATCCTGTCTTAAGGGAGTAAGGCGGAGTGATAGAGCAGGATGCCGGGAGTCCTTCTCTGACCTCTGCGTGCACGTAGATAATTCTCTCCCCCAACATGTGCATACCCCACACACAATCTTCTGAACACACACACACTCACACGCACACACACACACCCTCTCTCTCAGAAAGTAAAATTGGAGTGGAATGAAGGAAGGAAAGTGAGACCCAGATAACGGAGGTGTAGCTCACTGTTAGAGCATGTGCTTAGGGTGTAAGGCCTTAGTTAGATTCCAGGCATTTAAATGGGAAAAAAAATTGAAAATCCAAGCAAACACTATAATATCTGTTCCTATAAACGTGGAGTAGAGGGGGACAACTATGCTGTCATTCGTTGGTCGGTATGTCAGCTCCACAGGGAAGCTGCCAGAGTGCTGTGAGCGTCTTGCAGAGCTTGGGAACCTCTGGGAACCTGGAAAAAACAGAGGCTGGAGCCATGACTTAGTGAGTAAAGGCATTTCCACCAAGCCTGATGACCTGAGATTTTCTCTGAGACCACATGGTGGGAGGAGAGAGGAAATCCCCAAAGCTGTCCTCTGATTTCCAACAAGCATGTCCTATCTCGAGCACACAGACAATACATACATACACACATCCCACCCTACACTAAATAAATAAATAGGGGAAAAAACACTAAGCATGATAGGTCATCCTTGTAATCCTAGACTTGGGTAGCTGAAGCAGGAAGATTGTAGTGAACTTGTGGCCAGTGAGACGCTGTGAAGAAAAAACAAGAAGAAGAAAGATAAGAGGAAAAAATGACAGACTTGTCCCTGCTTCAAGAAGACATTGTTATTCGAATCCTGAAACGTGCTTGTGGGGCAGTGGAGGCCAGAGTTCTTGTCCTTAAGAGAATTACAAACTGTGTAATACGTTGTGAATGTTGTCTTTTTAATCAGGTTTACATTTCAAGTTATAATAGACGAGAAAGAATTTCCACAAGCCGAAGGTAAATCAAAGCAGGAAGCAAAAGATGCTGCTGCCCAACTTGCTTTTGATATACTTAACAGCGAACACCAGGTGAGTAGTTGACTTTTCACCTTGTCAAAAGGAAGCTGTAAATATGTATGTATGCATGTATGCATTCATGGATTCATGTATGCATGTATATTCTCTGTCAGTGAGAAAATGCATGTGTCAGTGTAAAAACACTCATCCAAAGTTTTATTCCTTTTTTCCCCCTATCCCTATTTCTCCCGAGTGAGAAAAATACCAGGAAAATTGTTGGCAAAGCTGTCACTTCTAAGTGAGTGCTGGCAACATTTTCATGCTCTGAAGTTAAATACATGTGGAAAGATGAGACTGTCCAGTGGAACACGGGCTGATAAGGGCTAGGAGGTGTCCCTTCCACCTCAGCAAGAGAAGAGAGAAGTCATACAAGTCCTGGTAGGGAGAGCTATGCACCTGAAGGGAAATTACAGAGGACCAACACACACAACACTGGTGTCCCTGAAGATGCAAACAGGGTAAATAGCACATAAAACAAACAAACAAGCAATAATATGGCCTATCTTGTCCCTAGGTGGGTGGGGGAGGTATTTGGTTTTTTGTTTAGCATGTAAGAGGTCCTGGATACAATTCTCTAATATCAAACATACAAAGCTATCTGGAGATTTTTCAACTGAAAATGTTCATGGAATAAAGACACAGCATTAGATGAAATTCGCTCCAAAGGTAGCAGAAATACAGAAGTGCCAAGACCAACCTGGATCCTTATGAAAGCACTGACCTGAGGGAAAGAGGAGGAAGTTTGCAAACATTGGGGCAGATGGTAAAAAGCTCATGTTATCTGCTACAATATCAAAACCAGGAGGCTGGAGCAGTGGCTGCAAATGAGACACGAAGGGATTGATGTGTGAGATGGGAAGGTCATGCTCAGTACTGAGAAGTGTTACCTTCCAACAGACTCCTGGATAATCTTACTGAAGATGCCATCCTTAGAACCAAGTCATAAGCAACCAATAAAACCCACAAATTCTCTTATTAATAAGCTAAAAGTGAGTCAAAAAGAAAAAAATAAGGTAACCTCTTTCTCTCAAAGTGGAAGAAAGATAATAATATCAATGGTGGAAATTTGTGTAGAAGAAGACAAATAGTAGTAAGGATGAATGAAACCCAACACTAGTCCTTTGGTAAGATTCATGGACGAGAAACTTTGGACCAAACCTGATCTGGCAGGAAACAATGAAGGTTCAGGCCATAAGAACACTGCTTCTGTGTACATCTTTTCTGCTAAGCTGTGAGCCAGCACAGAGCTCTCCTTCCATCCTGTACTCTCTGTATTGAGCTTTAGAAAGGCTGCAGTATCCTAGAAAGTGTGACAATACTATTTTCAGGAATAGAAGGGGTGTGTGGGGAGGGAGGACTCAGATGTCCAGAGTGTGTACTGCTCATACAGAGGACCCAAGCTCGGTTCCCAGATGTTGGGTGGCTCATGATCACCTGTGACTCAAGCTCCAAGGGATCACAAGTGTCTTCTGGTCTCCTTAGGCACTGTCATGCATGTGCACACACACACACACACACACACACACACACACACAGACACACACACACACATGCACATAAATTTTAAAATAAAAGCAGTAAAATAAATCCTAGAATGTAAGACAAGAAAATAGGTCTGGTTTGTTTGGTTTTGGTAAGAAGTGCTGTGCAGTTCAGGTTGGCCTCAGCATTTCTATGTAGCTCAGGCTTGCCTCAGACTCTCTATTATACCTCAGACTGGCTTCAGACTCCCTGTGTATGTAACTCAGGCTTTCCTCAGACTCCATGTTATCTCAGGCTGGCTTCAGACTCTTTGTGTAGCTCGGGTTTTCTATGTAGGTCAGGTTAGCCCCAGGCTTTCTTTGTAGCTTGGGCTGGCCTCAGGTTCTCCGTGTGGTTCAGGTGGGCGTTGATACTCTTTTTTTGGCATAATTTCTTTATTCTTTGGGAATTCCACATCACACACCGCAATTCCGTTTATTTTCCAGTCCCCCCATATATGCCCTTCACCCTTGCAGCATCAACCCTGAAAGAAAATTGAAAAAATTAAAACCAAACCAAATCAAAACAAAGAAACAAAAACCAAAAACAGAACAAAACAAAACCCCTCTTTGCTTGTCCATCTTTTCTGCCTCTCCAACACTTCTTCCTTGGTCTTGGTGACATTGGGAGTTGCCATACCAACTCCAGTGTCGTCTGTATGACATGGCATACGTCATTATGCCAGACAGGAGCTACGTGTCCTCAGGAACTAGGCTTCCTGGAGGTCAATGGCAGACAGCCCGGTATTGGCCGCTGTTGAGGCATAGACGGGTTTCTCGATTAGCTGGCTATGCGGGATATGGGCTTTGCACAATCTCTTTTAATAATGATATTCTATACATCTACGGGACAAGGATTGTCTCTTCAGGAACAGCTCTGGGATAGGGAAGCACAGTATGGGAATGTATAAGACTACAGCAGAACCCTTGTCGTGCACGGGGTGTATGATGAGCAAGGGAATAGATGGGTTACTGTTGATGGACAGAGAGTGCTATATTATACTTTGGACTTTATAGATAGGCTTTCTAGATCCCAACCCCCATGGTGTCTGTTGCATAAGAAGGTACAAAAAAGTATATTTCAGCAGATGCAGAGAGCTGTTAGGCATATTTGGTCACTAGATGAGATAAAGGGTTAGAAAGAGGAAGGGCCATGAGAGCGATAATGAGACAGAAACTTTCTCTCCTTAGATAAGATGAAACCACTTGTCTGAGATTTACATTCCCAGGAGCAAAAGTTCCTCTTCCAAGGATGTCTTATGTCTAACACCTGTCCTGATAATATGCTTTTTTTAATAAATTGCTGATGTGACTAAAAGAAGCTTTCATACTGTGCCAACTAATGATATATGACCTTCTGATTTGTTCTTTGTTTAAATAGTATGTAATAAAAACAAAAATTCAGTAAAATTGCAGCAGATTCCAACCACTGTCTTATGTGTTACGTCTGTCTGTCATTCGCCGACCTTGTGCCTTCCTGATTACCAAGACCCTGCTTCTCCCACGGTCTGGGTGGCTCCCCTGAGCCGGTCTGTGGCAGGGAGCCACGGTGCTGTCACACAGTACACCCTTTCTTCCAATCAGCTTTACCTGCAAATGTTCATTGCAATGAGCCATTTCCATTGTTCTGGTTCAAGGCCTGTGGTTTTGGGCACACCATCATCACTGGCTCTTCACCAGAACTCCTCTTGGATATCCCGCAACCGCCGGAAGTCATGGAGAGCCTGTAGTCACCTCACAAGCTCCAGCAGGAATTAGGTGGGGCAGATGTTAGTTAGGCCTTGGTGCTCTTGCCCCTGTCCGCTGGAGGAAGCCTTGCAGCTAGTGGTTACCCGTGCACTGGGGCGTGGCCTCTTAGACTATGTAAGCTGACATAAAGCCATGCTTCAGGCCTCTTTACCTGCCTCTCTGTTTCGGTTGTGGATTTCCGTTTCTGATCTTCGTTCAAGCAGAGGATTCTAATTTGTGAGTCTACCCCTAAATAAATAACCATCTATATCTGAATTCAGCCATTGTGTGGTGTATAAATCCATGCTTCAGGTTATATAACATGGGTATATGTATTTTAATGTGCCATTTAGGATTTTTAAACCAAAAGGATAATTTATTTTTGCAGATGTTTTCCCTCATAGGCATATAGTTACACTTTTAATAAGGAAATATATTTGGGAAATCCATAATGTATGTTGTCTCGTATATTACTTATTTAGTAATTTCATATGATAGTTCATGATTCATATTAAGCACATTTTCTTTCCTTTGTAGGAAGATGGTCATGCGAATGTTTCAGAAGTTTCATCTGCTGGGGATTACATAGGCCTTGTCGATAGTATTGCCCAGATGCAAAATCTGTCGGTAAATTATGAACACTTTGTCTCCAATACTGAGTCGTCCCAAAGGTGAGACATGGCTTGGCTTCTCCTACTGTTTCACTGTGTACCACCAATAACACTGAGAGGCTTTCACATGTAGCTTTCCAGACATCTTTGCACTCCCTTTAAACATTTATTATGAAAGGTTTTTAAAGAGTTATAAACATCAAATGCCCAGTTCCTGAGGCTGGAAGGTCCATTGAAATCAAATTTGGCTAATTTGTTTTTCAGTAGCCTCTTCTTTCCTCGGCTTTGCTTTTGACATTTCTATTTCTTTTGGTCCACAAGACAGTGAGTGTGGTCCCGGAAGCTGCCTGAGTGACAGGAAGGCCACTTTCGTCAACCTGGGAGCAGAATAGGTCACACAGATTATTCCAGTTTATTATGAGCTGTTGTTAATCTTTTACTGTGAGTTAAACTTCATATATAATGTGTAAACAAGCATCAGAGTCTGGAGGCTCTGAGCACACCCCAGTGGGCTGACTTCCCCTAGTACTGCGTCCTCGTGGCTTATCCCCTTGAGCCCCACTCTGCCAGCTAGTTTTCTCTCCTATTTGAACAGCTCTAGAAAATTCACTGGATCCTGCCTTTTTTTTGTTCCCTCTAAATCTTCTCACTTGGGATTGAAAAGTTTTTCTTTGCTTGCTTGCTTTTAAAATCATCACGTGGTGTTTTGTTGTCGGTCTTTCAATGAAACAAGAAAGTTAAATGTTACCTGGGAACTGTAAGCCAGGATATCGACTGTTTATGACTATTCAGACAGATGGGTGACCCTTTCTGTGGAGTTTAAATTATGTGAGGTAGGAAACATAAACACAGTTAAAAATTCATTAGTCTCATCTCAAGGCCTTTGTTTGTCTGTAAGGTTCTTTTTTCCCCCAAATTGTACATTGATTGACAATATTTTTGATATATGAATGAATACTCACATTTTTTTCTAGATTTATTTGTAAATGCAAAGTTGGATTGACAACATTTGGTTCAGGAGCTACCGAACAGGAGGCAAAGCAGCTGGCAGCTAAAGAGGCATATCAGAAGCTTTCAGAGAAGAGCTCACTGGTATGTGCTGTCAGTTATTGTAATTTGTACACTTACGATTCCCTCTGAAGTTGACTTCAGGTTAGAAGGTTTGCATGATGCAGGCATTTGCCAATTGCATAACAAATGATTCCTCCATTCTGTGTATCACCAATGATCTGATCCATGAACCACGGGGCTAGGAGTTCTTAGGGACATAAAAGTTCTATGGGAATGCAGGGTTGCTTTTAAAACTTAGCTCAAATGTCCATGAAAATGTGTTGATTTTTGCCATTGTGATTTTGTGATTGTGGACTGGGTAATATATGGGCAGTAGCATGTATTTGGGGATGAGTCACCATAGAGAAGGAGGTTAGCTGCCTATAAGCCTGCTAAGGGCTGCTCCTTCTCTTCAGAGAGCTGACAGAGCATCCTCTGGACCAACCACCTCTTCATCCAGTGGCCACTCCAGCGGCTCATCTATAACAAACAATTCGTGAGTCTGGGTAGCCAGTGTGGTGAGTGGGCTGAGGGAGGGGCATGCTTGAGGCTGTGGGCCCAATCCCCATCGCCTCCCTCCCCCAAATTAGGTTCCAGAACTCTCACCAAGTGGGTCACAACCACCTATAACTCCAGCTCCATGGGATCCAATATCCTCTTCTGGCCTCCTGTACCAAACACACACACACACACACACACACACACACACACACACACACACA